ATACTAAGGTTAGAATTTTGGTAGAACGTACAAGACCCGGGTCTTGTACGTTCTACCAAAATTCTAACCTTAGTATAGACCTGGGTATAATATAGGGGGGTCTTTTATCAGGTGATTTACGGTAGTCGTTTGAAACTATAGTGGGGTCGATATGTGCGTACATACATACCTTCGGGTACTTCTCTTTGAAGTATACAATGTATATAAATAAAAATTAAACTATTAAATATCACCGGGTATAAATCATAGGGAGTATAAGAGTCAGCAGTTTACTTGGCTACAGCATAATCTGAAACTAAAATATTTCTCTGGTTAGTTGATGATGTAATCATGTAATAATAATCATAATCGTTCAAATTGAGCCAGAAAATGTGAAAGCTTTTTAAAAAAGAAAAAAATCAAGATTCAAAATTTCTGAAATTCTTTTCAATTTATTAAAAAAAAGATGTTGGCAATTCATCACCAATAAGTTCACTCTTGATCCCCGAGTTAAAATCATACATGAAAAAAATCTGATCAGGAATTTCACGTTGTCATTCCAGGAACCACTAATACTAACGTTTGCTCTTTTGAGTTTATCGCTTTCAAATTTTTTTAGTAAATAATTTTTTTGTTAACGATTAAATATATTTTCACCAATTTTACCGAATATTACTGTAAAATTTACTATATCGAGTAAAATTTTTATTTGAAATAAACATACCTACTTTAAGTCACACTGCTATACGAAAATCCGAAAAAAAAATATTTTTGCTTTGTAAGCGTATGCAAACTTACTAATTATTTAGCAACTTAGTATATAGTAACATTTATTTTCAGTATTACTGATTAGCAAACAACTACTTATGCAGCATTGTATCAGTCACTTTTCCCAAAAGAACATAATACTATTTATCGCCGTTTTCGAAATGGTTGAGAATAGCAAGATTTACAAAAAAAAAAATTTTTTTACGCGAATACCCAAAAACCCGAAAACCCGATTAGTTTAGAACATTGAAACAATTATGCGAGTGCATATGTAAATCGGAATCGATTATCGATCAGTGTTCTAAACTAATCGAGTTTTCAGGTTCGCATAAAAATTTTTTTTATTGTAAATCCCACTATTCGAAAACAGCGATAATTATATGCTATGGCTTTTGCGAACTTAGTTACATATTGTATTAGTATTAAAGCAAATATAGTATTGTATCATTATCAATAAAATCAATTATGTTTTAAACAAAAATAAAATCGCGGTTCAGAATATAGTTAAGGAATTTTGAAACAGAGTTGGGTATATTTAACATTACAAGCTAGGCTCAGCAAAATTTTATTTAATGAGAATAGAGTTCCGAACAAAAATTTTCTTGGTTATATCAGAAACAGCAGAGGTCTTTTTCGATTTTTAACAGCTGCCCTGCCTTGGAAAGTGCATAGGAGTACGTCAAGTATAACCCAGGTTTGCATAAGGAGAGCATCTTCCTGCGTATCGAATACAAAGTAAATTTTCAATTATAAACCTTGTATCCGATACGCAAGAAGATGCTCTCCTTATGCAAACCTGGGTTATACTTGACGTACTCCTGATGCACTTTCCAAGGTAGGGCAGCTGTTAAAAATCGAAAAGACCTCTGCTATCAGAAGCACTTATTTTCGTTAATGGTTAAGATTATTTTGATTATTTTTTTTTTACTAGCAGAAAAATTTTGAAAGCGCATTAATAAATACTTCGCTTAATAAACCGATTTAATTTTTTTTTTTTTTTTTATTGAAGAAAAACTAAAACATTTTTTACTTGCAGTTGTGCTAAAGTAGCGTGATCTAATTTATCCAATAAGATGGGTTTTATGCGTCCAATCACAACTTGGGGAGAAATTAGGGTATTACAATGGGATTCTAAAATGGTTCAATTGGTAGAGAAGTCCACTTAAATATGTGGATTCAATTTAACTTGAAACTTAATATTAAGTATTTAAAACAATTTCATGCTAACGTGCTAAATTAATGCAAATGATCTAAATAGAATGAAATTATCTTCACGAACTTTGATATTTCATTTTAAACTTTATTATCGAACAACATTCTTTTACTCATGCACTAAAGGAAAATAAACCAATAGTGAATATTCATACCTTATTTTTTTTTTTATGTTCATGCACTAAATTAGTGCAAATAAAATGAACAAAGTGCTATGTAAATATTTGTGAGCCTGATATCTTGATTAAGTACTAAGATTAATATAAATAGATGGTGTATATATTCTTTATACTTGCGTACTAAACATAAAATTTTAATTAACTTGGGTAGCTTAGTTAGAGCTGTTTTCTGCTTGAATATCCGGCTAATCATCTAGGCCACAATCAGGTCAATTTGGCAATTCTGCCAACGGGTGACCCATGGGTTGACCACCCGGGTAGTCCCGGGTCACCCGCTCAAGCAAGACCCCCAAAAAATAGTTTTTCATAATTACAAAGATGGTTTGGTTTATGGCAAAAAATGTGGTTTATAATGGTAGAATACTTAATCAAAATTTTAATTAAGACACATTATTTTTAGCATTTGTAAAGATCTAAACTTCTGCTAATATGTTATAATTTAGAACCGCTATTGCGAAAAATATATGTAAGCCAAGAACATAGCTTGTCAACATTTCTAATAGAATAGTGTCATTTACAAATGCCAATTAATTCTTTAATATATACTTGCTAGTGCTTGCCCCTTCTTTTGCTGTGGGGGCCCCATATATACAGTATATGTGTATACGTTTTTTTTAAATCCACTAATCCAAATAAAAAAACAAACGGGGTTTATTAAATCTCGTGATTAAAGGAAAATTTTTACAGTTTTATAAAGGTTGTCAAACTTCATTTACCGTTACTAAAAGAAAATGGTTGTATTTCAATTTCCAAAAATTTTGAATAAGCACCCACCTTTTGCAATTTTTATATCCAAGTTCTCCATGATCTAGTGATCGGATCTGGTACTATTCGAATCAGCTTATCAAAATTATGCAGATCCGATCACGAGAAACCTGGTTATGAAAATTGCAAAAGGTGGGTGCTTATTCACGAATGGATCTTCGTCGTGAAAAGAATTTTACGAGAAGCTTTTGCTTATGATGTACCACAATCTGGACCGATTTTCCAATTCTTAATCATAAAAAAAAAAAGATTTTAATTCTACTTAACCTATGATTATTATTCGAAATTAACAATATTCATAATGACTATAATCATTCTGTTTACTATATATTGATCGCTCAATCATTACGAGAATTGAGAAAAATAAAGTACAGTTAATGATACACCAATAATTTGAAACATAACGTGAGAACAATAAAGCGCTTGCAACTGTTAATAAACAAGTGCAGAATGATTAGAATGAATGGTAAGAAAAAACTTTTTAAAAAATGGTATTTTATTGAAATCATGTTTATAGTTTACCAATCCAAAGTACAAAGCTCGTAATAATTAAATTTTGGTTATCGTTTATCTTTAATTCAGATATTACGTTTATTAAGGTCGACGAGAATAAGTATCCGAATATCCGAAATCTAAACTCTAATTAATTAATGGACTAAGGGAATGGCTAATCTTTAAGTCTTGTTTTTTTTTTATGTAAATAGTCAATACTTTAATTGAAATAATTTGAATTTGTTTTTTGATTAATATTTAATTAAAAGATAATTAAAATTCAATCAACAAATGAATAAAATCAAAAAACAATGTGAATGCATAATAAAATAATAATAACAAACGTTATTTAAAATTACATCTTTACCTGCATTCTTCTAACCAATGCAGCTGCAAATCCACTATTTGTTAATAACACTTTTTCGGACCTATGAATTGAAAAAATAAATTCAGTATATATATACAAAAAAAAAATTGATTTGATACGATAAATTTGATTACATTTTGTGCTGCTTTGATGAGTATCCGAAGCTACAATCCTCGCTAGGAAAATGCGTAGCGTTGTGTGCCTGGAGCGTCCATCTTATTACACAAACGCGTGAAGTGATCTTCATAATGTTTATGCGAATGCATCAAAAAGGTACCTATTTTGTATCGTCTGTCGCTACGCTCTAGACAATAACAAAGATGAACGAACGGGTTAAACATTCAAAGACTGGCTTAAAAATAAGGTCGTAATAAAATGCCTTATCGCGTTACCGCCATTAGCTTCATACGGATAAAAGTTACGCTCAGTAGGTACTGAGATTAAAGTCTCATTATAAAAAAGTCGGTGAAATTCATTGAATAAAGATTCTAAGAGTTTTCAAATCGAAATTGAAATTGATTTAACGTTAAATAATCGATATCGATATAGAATATACTCGAATTCTGTGTAACTCCCCGTTTTTTTGATGACACGCACATCACGTCACATACGTAAGGTAAAAATTTTTGTTCGGCCATTTTTCACTTTCTCTATAATCTCTATGATGGAATAGATTTAAAGGGACTACTGTTCTTTGGACCGACGAATGTAGTATGCTCGGTGATTTCTGCTCTTATGAAGCTGTTAAAGAATTCTCTCACCCAGTCTTTGAAATTCCTGCATATCAAAATGCAAGTATACATAATTGTGAATTCGTTTGATATTCTTATTCAGATATCAAAAATCAAATAGGCTGTCAAATTTTTAAAAGACTGCACCGATGAAAAATCTGATTCTGAGTGTCGTATTAAATTTGAACATGGTACAGCTACACTAGCTTTCAAATTTCAAGGTGGTATCATGGTTGCTGTTGATTCGCGTGCTTCTGCCGGAAGTTACATTGGTAATTAATAAATTTTTATTGAATCATTTTGATCTTTAATACATCTAATACATCTATGTAATTG